ATTTAATACTTGCGCCGGGTATTTAATGTTCGGCTCCGCCCGAACTTAGACTTTCTTACTTGTTCCTGATTAGTTTGGGATTTCACTGCAGGGTAGTTAACTATTAAATATTAAGTGCGACAAAACAAGGAACACTGGGTCTTGAAAGCTCTGTTTTATATAGAAAAAATTTACTTAAAGCTATGTGCTCAAAATATCAGATATTTAATGCACATTACATTGCATTAACGAAGGAGGACATTCTGCCAAAATGGACAAAAATTATTTATTTTGTTAGTTCTAGTCTTAAAACTACCACGCCCATTTCTAGGGGTTTGTCGTCTTAAGTACAAATTTCCCGAATAAAAATGTTAATGTATGGGCATTCTAACGAAATCTGCAATAAAATTGTAATTTTTGTAAAACCACGTTTTTTGACAACTTGCAACGTATTTTCTATAAAAAATATTCAAAATTTATTACTCGTATTAGTTTGTTAACAGCATTAAAAAAGCTTAAATGTTATTATAAAAATTAATAATTTTCATTGTTTTATGCTTCACTCTATTTGTAGCTGCTTCTGTGGCTGTCTCCTCATGGACTTTGGTGGCGATATCCTGCGAGCGCTACTACGCCATATGCCATCCGCTCAGTTCCCGCCAATGGCAAACAATAAATCATGCCTATCGAATCATCGGCTTCATTTGGTTTGGCAGTATTGTGTGTATGACTCCGATAGCAATATTTAGTCAGTTGATGCCTACCAGCCGTCAGGGTAAGCGTGGATATATTTTGTATATGTAGACATTTGGCATTTAGTCTAAGTGGATTATAATTATCCATTAAAAGTGTCAGAAAATAAAAGCAAATAATTTGCTAAGGATTGTTAGTGCGTAAGTGCCCTGTTTTGGAGCACTGTGGCGTATGAGCAACATTTTACGTTGATTTTTCGAGATATTTATAACTCCTTCATTTAAGCATATAAGGACATGCAATTTTGCACTCCTTTCATTTATGATCAACAGAGAGCTTACAGTGAAAATCATCAAAATCGGGCAACAATACGTTAAAGCCCCCATACAACTGATTGTGCAGACCGAAGCTTTTGTGACATAGCTCGTACATTTATGGTGATTTCGGTTCTTCCAAAAAATGTTGCCCTTTCCCGGTGCAAAATGTGTTTGATGTTACAAATAACCCTGCATGTTTTGCTTGCTTTCTTGTTCTTGTCTAGCTCACGCATTTCATAATATAGTCGTTTTAAACAACCAACTGATTTTCAGGGTAACCATCTCCCCTGACAAAGCCTCAAAGGGCAGAGAATGTGCCTTTTTTGCCATACAAAAGTGAAATTTAGAGAAACGAACACAAAATTCTTTGCCTTTAATTTAGAATCGAACACGAAAAGAGAAAGTGGCAATCAAAAGACGACATTTTTGGTAGGAACGAAATCATTATATTTTATAAGATATTTAATAATCAATCATACAGGTTTCTGAAAAAATATGCCGATCGGTCCTCTAATACTTATTTATAACACACTTACAACTGATTGTTATTAACTCGTTTCTGATTTTTTTTTATAAAACAAAGGTATTTTTTCTTTTTAAGTGTTTTCTCGAATGTTATATACAAAGTATACAAATACGCATGTCAGAAGAAATAAGGTTGGATTTCATTTACAACGAGATCAATTCTTTAAAAATCGGTTAGTATTTTTTTTTTTGCAAAATATTTTTTTATAAAACAATGGTACTTTTTCTTTTTAAATGTNCATTTACAACGAGATCAATTCTTTAAAAATCGGTTAGTATTTTTTTTTTGTAAAATATTTTTTTATAAAACAATGATACTTTTTCTATATGCGAAGTATACAAATATGCATATCAGAAGAAAGGGGGTTTAATCATGTTTACAACGATTTTTAAAAATCGGTTAAAATTTTTTTGAAATATAAAGTTTTTAATATTTCGAAGACCCGAAGTTTGCACAAAAAAAAGTTAAATACTATTTAAATAAGAGCAACAAGCGGACTACGTTTATATTTTTAGTTTTTTAGTTATTTACATATAATTATAAAAAATAACCTTTTACCAAAGGTCCTATTTCGAACTTCGAAGGCCCGTATCTCGATTTCGGAGGCTAAACGGAGAAATTTCTTTTTTACCTACGACTCAATCTCCTAAAAAAATTAGTTTTGTCCAATACCCAACCAGGTGCTGTACAGTGTAATGATTCCAGTATCTTCATTTATGTACATTGTAACTATCAATATCATATAACGAGAAGTGTAAAATTTTTTTATCTAAAACTAACAAAGTTACNTTTATGTATATTGTAACTATCAATATCTTATAACGAGAAGTGTAAAATTTTTTTATCTAAAACTAACAAAGTTAGAAGGACGAAATTCGAGGATGTGGTAGTTTACATATTAGTCCTTGACATATATTTTTTTTTCAAAAATAGATATTGGAAATTTTCAAGGATATTCAAGGATAAAATTTTAAAAGGACATTTTTAACACTTATATGTCCTGGTGCACCAAAAATTTAATTTTTTTTCATTTCTATTCAACAATTTTTATGAGCTTGAGGCCGTTTTTTAGTGAAAACTTATTGTGGAAAAGCAACAATAATTTGAATAAATGGTAAGTGATAGCTATTTCGGAAATCACCACATTTCCTCATCAGACTTCTTTCAGTAGGATTCGAACCAACGATCACCACTGACTCAGCCAGTTGCCTACGCACTGTGCTAAGTTTGCCTTGCTAATTCTTGTTGCTTATTTCCACTATTTCACTTTGCTAAGCCAACTACAATCAAGCGCAGCTATTCCGCTGCAATTCACTTGATCATGTGGTTGTTGGTTTTGTTGTTTTTTGTTAATATTTCTATTATTAGAATGTTTAAATCTTAGGTGTGCTCGTCCTTGAGTTATTTGCTTTTGTTATTTTTATGGCCTTATAACAATTATATTCAAAAATTTTTTTTATTAGCTTGAGGCCGTTTTTTAGTTCTACAAAATTTTTCCTTTTAATTGATAATTGGTATTGTTACTCTACAATGCACCAAATCTTTTAAATATTTTTTCTATTCAATCATATCCTTGAAATTTCAAAGTCCTTTCAAAAAAAAACCTAACGCCAGAAAAATTAAAAACGCAGTTATACTTTATTTGGCTCCTAGTTTTGTGGATATATTTTATTATTTATTCTTGGGTTTTAAAAATTTTTGGTTTTTGTCGCACGGCGAAACCAATGACATCAATTTAATATAATCTATAGCTCCCAAACAGCGTACTATATAAGATAAATTCTTTTCTTTTCACTTCGAGCTCCAAAGCAGCGAAACAATAAATAGTATTTGGCTCATTCCACGGTAATCGATACCGAATTAAACAAAAATAAACTTAAGAATTTGAGTGTATTATTTCTAGTAAGTAAGAGAAGATAAATCCATTTTCAAAACTGAAATCCAAAATCTCGAAATTTATCTCAAAATTAAAAATTTTTTTACTTAAGGTTGTACCATTTAACTCATATGAGAGGTTAATTTTCTTCAAAGTGACAAGACTGATTTTCGTAGTGTATTGTCTCGTTTACATTGTTTAAACGGTCAATGGAGAAAACAATTCGTCAGCATTGTAACAATGTAATTTTCAAGTTTGTCGGGCAAGTACTGAATATTTTATTATATATTGAAGCAAAGCATATTTTAATATCACGCCTGTCACAAAATACACAAAATAGTAATTTTTTGAAAGAAAACACATCTTGCACAGTATAAAAGAGCTGACAAAAGTCACGCCATGACACAGGCGAATATGTGCGTATTGCTTTTAATNCGATACCGAATTAAACAAAAATAAACTTAAGAATTTGAGTGTATTATTTCTAGTAAGTAAGAGAAGATAAATCCATTTTCAAAACTGAAATCCAAAATCTCGAAATTTATCTCAAAATTAAAAATTTTTTTACTTAAGGTTGTACCATTTAACTCATATGAGAGGTTAATTTTCTTCAAAGTGACAAGACTGATTTTCGTAGTGTATTGTCTCGTTTACATTGTTTAAACGGTCAATGGAGAAAACAATTCGTCAGCATTGTAACAATGTAATTTTCAAGTTTGTCGGGCAAGTACTGAATATTTTATTATATATTGAAGCAAAGCATATTTTAATATCACGCCTGTCACAAAATACACAAAATAGTAATTTTTTTAAAGAAAACACAGCTTGCACAGTATAAAAGAGCTGACAAAAGTCACGCCATGACACAGGCGAATATGTGCGTATTGCTTTTAAGTACTTAATTCTATTATAAAAAAAAACTAGTATGTTGGTCAAACCCGTCATATGTCACACCCGTCACAATTTAAAGTTTTACAAATTTTGATAAATTCGACCAGGGACTGTTACCGTTACTTATCTGCTAATATGAAATGTATCATATATCTGTTTGTGACCACCGATGATAAAGCCAATCATAGAGATATCTTGCTCGAGTGATGAGAAAACTTAAGCTATGCTGTCACGGATAAAAAGACACCACTACTTCGCTTGTCAGGGCAAAAACAGTATCTCATACGGTTTGACAGGCAACGGCCTCATGAAAAGTGTAGTAGATACTATTTAAAAATAAGGTACTTTACGATTACTCAGACAGACAGTGGTGATGTGGTTGTAAAATCCGTTTTTTTGAGAAATAATAATAGTTTAGTTGTCTATTAATGTGTATTTGTGTATTCACTGCTCNACGGATAAAAAGACACCACTACTTCGCTTGTCAGGGCAAAAACAGTATCTCATACGGTTTGACAGGCAACGGCCTCATGAAAAGTGTAGTAGATACTATTTAAAAATAAGGTACTTTACGATTACTCAGACAGACAGTGGTGATGTGGTTTTAAAATCCGATTTTTTGAGAAATAATAACTTATCACACGCGTCACAAAGTCAAGTCAAACCCGTCACATTTGAATTTGGAACATATAATCTATAGAAAAACTCTGATACAAGCAAGTAGTAGCTAATTTGGTTTGCGTACTCGTCACACCCGTCACAGTGACTAAAATTCATACACCTCGCTTGGATTAAATTGTTTGAGAATTTTTTTCTCGGTATTGTATAGACGTCGGAAACCTTTTATAAAATACTCGCTTAAAAGAATTTTATATTACATTTTAAGAATTTAGCATTAAAATGTGAGTTGAAATGTCACACCCGCCATCGTGGAATGAGCCACTTATAATTTTTTTCAAACTTATTGTCTCCATTTTGCGTTGAATTATAACGTTAAAATTTATTTTATATCTTTAATGATCTTTTTTCTTGTTATGATTCTCCTTAGGCCTTCGAAAATGCCGCGAGCAATGGCCAGCCGATNTATTGTATAGACGTCGGAAACCTTTTATAAAATACTCGCTTAAAAGAATTGTATATTACATTTTAAGAATTTAGCATTAAAATGTGAGTTGAAATGTCACACCCGTCATCGTGGAATGAGCCATTTATATTTTTTTTTTTCAAACTCATTGTCTCCATTTTATTTACGCGTTGAATTATAACGTTAAAATTTAGTTTATATCTTTAATGATCTTTTTTCTTGTTATGATTCTCCTTAGGCCTTCGAAAATGCCGCGAGCAATGGCCAGCCGACAGCCTCGCCTACGAACGTTCATATAATATATTCTTAGATTTGGTTTTACTAGTGCTGCCCCTGCTGATACTCAGTTTTGCATACATTCTGATTACGCGCACCCTGTATGTGGGTATGAAAAATGAACGTGCCATGATTTTCGGCAGTGTAGCATCAACAGCACCAGGTGGTGGCAGCGGAAGTAGCAAATTGGGCAATGAGGTGGATGCTTTAACCACAGCCTTGGTGCCGAGCACAACAGCTGGCGCAAAAACTACGACACGATTTCAATTCAACGTATCGTTTCCTGTACGTGGATGTAGTGCTAGTGGAATCGTTGCATGTGCTGAATTGGATGCACAAGAACAACATAATTGTGCGAAGAAATCAAAATCACAGAGTCGGCAGTCACAACAGCAGCTATTACAAGAACAGCAAAAGCAACTTACAGAGCAACGTTCACAATGTTACGGTAGGTAGAATTTGTAAGCTTAAATTTACCTGCGGAAGAAAAAGTTAATCTTTCTCACTTGCAAAATACATAACAAATGCGACTTAATAGGAAAGNAACAGGGCCAGGTGGTGGCAGCGGAAGTAGCAAATTGGGCAATGAGGTGGATGCTTTAACCACAGCCTTGGTGCCGAGCACAACAGCTGGCGCAAAAACTACGACACGATTTCAATTCAACGTATCGTTTCCTGTACGTGGATGTAGTGCTAGTGGAATCGTGGCATGTGCTGAATTGGATGCACAAGAACAACATAATTGTGCGAAGAAATCAAAATCACAGAGTCTGCAGTCACAACAGCAGCTATTACAAGAACAGCAAAAGCAACTTACAGAGCAACGTTCACAATGTTACGGTAGGTAGAATTTGTAAGCTTAAATTTACCTGCGGAAGAAAAGGTGAATCTTTCCCACTTGCAAAATACATAATAAATGCGACTTAATAGGAAAANGGCAGTCACAACAGCAGCTATTACAAGAACAGCAAAAGCAACTTACAGAGCAACGTTCACAATGTTACGGTAGGTAGAATTTGTAAGCTTAAATTTACCTGCGGAAGAAAAAGTTAATCTTTCTCACTTGCAAAATACATAACAAATGCGACTTAATAGGAAAAGGAATTGAAGTTAAAGGAAAAACGATAAACTTGTTAGAAAGAAATTATATTTTGGTTTGCGTGAAAATATTCCAAGCAAAGAAAAATTCAGCACTCCAGGGAGAAATCATCGCATTTGTAGTTATTTGTGGTTGAACAATGAAGATGTTAAGTGTTGCAAAACTCATTGTGAGGTGTGAGTTGAAAATATGTTTTTTTTTTGTTTGCTAGTTTCCTTCTTATATACATACTTTAACAGCTTTAATAAAGCAAAGAATGAAGTTCATAAAATTANAAGTGTTGCAAAACTCATTGTGAGGTGTGAGTTGAAAATATGTTTTTTTTTTGTTTGCTAGTTTCCTTCTTATATACATACTTTAACAGCTTTAATAAAGCAAGAATGAAGTTCATAAAAATGAATTTAATATTTGACTTGCTTTACCAAACTACATATGTATAAACTATAAGTATACCTTTCTTCACCACGAAAGTCAATATTTATTTATTAACTAGTTGATCCGTCGAACCTCGTACGGCCTCACAATCAACTGCAATATTTTCTTTAACCTTTTAGTTAATTGATTTTAACTTTTGAAAAAGGTGGAAGCTCTCTATAAAAAATATCTTATATTTCATAGAAATGCGTCCAGCCGTTTTAGCATGAAATAGCAATAGACATCATCACATCCCCATACACCGACTCAGTAACAAACAGCACATTTTTATTTTTTATTTAATAGGACAATTGTAAAAGTTGTAGTTAATTGCAAAATAATGTAAATACATAATTGTATCGGTACAGCACTCGATTTTTTGCTTACGTCCTTGTTATTTTATTATTCTTGCGTGCTAACATGAATTTTGCCGGCGCTGTCCAAGTCCACTT